ATAAGTGCTCACCAGGATCCCAGTCTAAAACAAACTCGATTGCTTCACAAATGAGAAAATCGCTTGTTGAAAGCTTTTTATCAAGCAAAAATTGAAGCTTAAGTTTGTGACAGAATCCATCAAGTGTTTTACTATAATCAGATATCAATGGCTTAGCTTCTGTTATGCTGTAAAAGCTGACCACTTCCTTTACCGGTGCAATATTGATCACATTGCATTTGGTTTTAACAACTTTCATGACATCTTTCACTGTAGCAGCAGAGGTTAGGTTAGGACCTAATTCAGGATAGCAATCATCAAGAAATTCTATGAAATCTTCAAGTTGGTTCACTCTGATGGTGTGAGATACCAGTCGAGTGACTTTGAAATAGAAAGTTCCAAATTTTCCTCTCATTTCATCAAAATTATAATGCTCTGAAATTTGAAACTCAAATTCTGTCATAAAAATAATAATAATTAAAACCAGCTGGCTTATAACTAGCTATTTTACCTGTGACTCTAACACTTGTTCCTTCAACTATAAAAATGTAATTTTTGCTTGTTATTAAATTTTTATAAAATTACTTGAAATTGGTGTAACAATACTTGATTCATTGTGTACATCATAACCACTGGTAGAATCTTCTGCCTTAAAAATGTCCTCTAAAAAGAAGCATAAATTTCATTAAATGTTTTTGCGGTTTCTTACCACTATCTCTCATTAAGTCATTGGCTATACTAGCAGTGCCTATTGATCTTAATAATATGCTAGCAAATGATTTCAATTTGTTATGATCATAAGCTACTGCTGTGTATATTTCTCTCATTGCATCTGTTAGTGTGTATCCACAACTCTTCACTTCCCTCAATGTCTCTTCAGATATCAGTCCTTCTGTATGTAACAGATCAACTGATTCTTCAGAGAGTGTTGCTCCAGATATTCTGCTACTGAAATGCTGTAGTAGCTGGCTAGCAGGATCAACCACTATAGAAATAGAGTATAAACTTTAATCATATTGAAATAGAATTGTTTTAAATTACTTGTTTTCTCAATATTTTCAGCCACTGTTTTTAGTTCTACTTTTCTAAGAGCACTAGCCAATGTCTGCCAAGTAGGGTGATGTGCTCTACTCAGCCACTTGGATAAACACTCCATGAGACAACGTGAAGTATCTCCTCTATGATTAACTTCAATAGCTTCCAGCATAGGGTGAAGGAGGCCAAGTTTTAACCCAAATCAAGCCATTTTGCTTCAGGAAACCTATATTGCTTCAGTATCTCCATAATCTCATTCAATTTGCTAATATCTAATTATAAAGTAAATTGTACTGAAAAAAGTAAGTAAAACTAACCTAGTATAATAGGGTACATTTTTGCTGGCTTGCTTGATGCCATGTTAGACAAAGTACTTTAACAAAAACGAATTCATTCTTTCATTTATACATGTTTCTGGCTGTTTTGTTTTTCAGCTTTTTATGTGTTTTTGTAAACAGGTACAAATTGAAACTGATTGTATCAGTTTCGTTACATAAACAAAGCCTATCCAAATACCTTACCTAATAAGGTATTAATGGGTGCAAAGAGTAAAGAATGGTGATCGATTATGTTCTGTTGTCAATCCCTAGCATTGATTGCACTGGATTGTACTAGATAGTTGTAGTGCCTTTCTATCATTGTAATAACATTGAGTTCAGAGAGAGAGAGAGAGAGAGACAAAATTTGGAAAAAGGGGAAAAAACCATACCACAAAAATGGATATTATTATTATTATGTGTATTTGTAGGTGAAGATGTATTGCCAGTGGCTGATGCTGGTCCTG